TCCTATCTGGAATTTATCCGCGTTATTGACGAAACGGGAGCGGGCCGGTTTGGCAGTCGAAGGTCTTTGTGAAAATTCATTATCTTTGTTTACCAGATCATTGTTTAAGTGTTTAGGTAATGATGCCAATTTACAAAAATAGCTCATATTTTGCATTTCTCTACGAAGGTTTAATGGCATTATTGATGTATCTGCTTCAAGGGCCGCAGTAGCACTAGTTCGGAACGCGCCAGTAGCTAGCCTTAATGCGGCATTTTGAATGGTGTCTAGTTTTTTTAATTTGGTAGGCCTTGCGGAGCCATAAACAACACTAGCATAATCTATTATTGGTCTAATAAGTGTGGTATACATGATAAGCAGAGTATCTCTGTTAGCGCCCCATTTTATCCCTGCCAGACACCTCATAATATTAAGTTTTTTTTTGGCATTTTGTGTATATGTAATCGATATGGTCTCCCCAGTAAAGTTTTTTATCAAATATCATACCCAACAATTTTACTGTATTTTTATTACTAATTGGTCGATTTTCCAAGTAAAGCGTAGGTTCGTTATGTTCTGAACGTAGTTGGCAAAAGTGTATTGTATTTGATTTAGTTTGTGAGAAAGAGAAGCCACATGATTTTGCTCTGTCGTTTATTTGATCTATTTCAGTTTGAAGAGTCGTTGTTAGGTTATTAAGATCTTTACCTTGTAAATATAGTGTCAAATCATCAACATACAATAAACGTCCGATATTGGCGGGTATATTTTCTAGAATATTATTTATGGCCACTGCAAATAAAGTGACGCTTAAGACTGATCCCTGGGGTATCCCATTTTCAAGAAGTCGTATAGAAGATTCTTCGTTTGCTACGCGGACTTTGAAAAACCGTTGACTGAGAAAGCTGCCCAAGATGTTGGGAAGGTTTCCTCTCAGACCCAATTGGTGCAGTTGTTTTAAAATGGCATATCTCCAAGTCATGTCATAAGCCTTTTCTAAGTCAAACATGACTGCGACCGCGTGTTCTTGATTGGCGAATGTCTCGCGTATGTCGTTTTCTAGGCGGATCAGGCCATCGACTACGGAACGTTTGCGCCGGCATCCCACTTGGTTTTCTGACAACAAATCATTGACTTCTAAATACCACATGAGTCTGATACCAACCATCTTCTCTAAAATTTTGCTAAGACAACATGTCAACGAAATTGGTCTATAGCTTGAGGGGATTTGGCATTGTTTACCTTCCTTTAAAATTGGGATAATTACTGCTATCTTCCAGGCTTGCGGAAATATACCTGTCTGCCAGATTCGGTTGTATGCATGCAGTAACTTAAATTTTGTGTGTGTAGGCATGTGGCGTATCATAGAGTATGGTATATTATCTGGACCGGGAGCCGATTCGCTGCAAGACTCTAAGGAATTTTCGAGCTCATCAGCAGTAAAAGGGAGATTGTACTCTTCTTCGCCCGAACTATTAAATTGAAGGTTATTTCTTTCCTCCCTAATTTTTTTATTTTGAAACTCGGCAGCGTAGTTTTGATTACTACTAACAGACTCGTAGTAGTTAGAAAAATCTCTACTATATTCTTAAGGTCTGTGCCAGTTGTATCATTTAGATGTAATATGTCAGGTACGTGTAATTTACCTCTACCGCATATACTTTTTATTCTTTTCCAAATTTCTGCTGTACCAGTTTCTGGAGTAAGTGACTCAACATATTTCTGCCAAGATTTTTGTTTTGACTCGTTAATTAGCCTACGAGCTTTAGCTCGTGCTTTTTTAAAGTTTATTAAATTTTCTTGACTTGGTTCTCTCCGTAATACTTTCAATGCCCGTTTTCTCTCTTGAATCACTACTCTGATATCATTATTCCACCAAGGTACATGTTTTTTTTGAAAGCCTTTAGATATAGGAATACTTTGATGTGCTGCATTCAGTATACTTTCCGTTAATACGTTAGGTATTTGCTCGATATCGTTAGGTAGGTTCGGAATGTTAACAGCTTTCTGGTATGTTTCCCAATCTGCTTTTTCTGTTAACCACCTCTCTTTAAAATTCACCTCTTTTAGATGGGCATCAAGTGTCATGATGATGGGAAAATGGTCACTTGAATGAAGGTCGTTCAGTGTTTGCCAAGTTAATTTAGGGACAAGACAAGGCGAGCAGAGGCTTAAGTCAATGCGCGAAAAGGTATTTGAGCGAGCATTAAAGTACGTGGCATTCCCACTATTAAGGACGCATATGTTTTTTTCGTCGAGTAACCTTTCTATTCTTCGACCTCTGGTGTCAAGTAACTCGGACCCCCATGTAGGAGAGTGAGAATTAAAGTCACCCATTATGAGAAAAGGTTGTGGAAGTTGATCAGTTAGATCGCGTATTTGCTGATAAGTCCAATGTGAATCAGGTAGATGTACATTGCAGAGAGTTGTTTTCAGTGATGTTTCTATGGTTACTGCTACAGCTTGAATATTTGTAGTTAAATTAACCTGTGTTGCAGGTATGGAGCTTCGAAGCATTATAGCGACTCCTCCGGAAGCTCTTTGTATAGGGTTGTAATCTTTACGGAAAATATTGAAGCCTCTAAGATTGAAGTTTGAGTTAACTTTAAAATGAGTTTCCTGCAAAATAATCCCAAATGGTTTAAATTCGTTTTTTATTAATTGTAGCTCGTTTAAGTGAGATATACATCCATTGCAGTTCCATTGTATTATTGATTCCATTGTAAATTAAAAATAAAAAATTAGGGGATTTTGAGTATAAAATTGTAAATATATGTAATATAGTTAATTAGTGTAAATTTGTAAAAATAGGTGTTGTAAATAAATATAATATGTAATTAAAGTATCACGTTTTTTTCTTATCCTTCGTTTTTTCTTTTTCTTTTGGCGAGAGAGAAAGGGGAAGGAAAGGGGATTGATCAACAGGTTGTTGATCAACAGGGGATGGGTTAGGAAGAGGAAGGTTTGTTAATTTGTCCAGAGATAGTTTTCTCGGTTTGCCTTTTTGCCAACCTTTTTTTTTCTTCCTTCCTGTTCTTGACGTATCGCTCACTTGAGAAGAGAAATTACTCTCATCAGATTCTAAAGAGTCATCAACGATTTTTCTTTTATTTGAATCAAATGTTGTTAATTCATTGTCAGGAACCATGGGTTGCGAAAAAGTGTGTGTTGCAGGTTGAGTAACTGTTAATGCTTTATATAGTTCTTGGATTTGACTTTCAATTATCTTTGTCATTTTTGGAATTAAGGTATCAACAATTACATCAATAGTGTTTGTCGTTTTTACTTTGCTGGAATAGGTGCCAGAATTGGGCATACTGATCGTTATTTTACGTTTGGCTTCACCATAGGTAATCTTTTCATTAGTTTTTATTGTTTGTATGTTGATTTCTTCTATCATCCGCGGACATTTTTTTGATCTTGCAGAGTGTTCACCTTCACAATTAACACATACAGGGTTTTCGCAAATGTGCCCAATATGTGGTGGTTTGCCACATACACATATTTTAGGTTTCGTGCATGCAAGCGATACATGACCAAATCTTTGGCAATTAAAACAGCGGACGGGATCTGGGATATAGGGTCGTACGTCTAATGAATAAAATGCAGCTCTAACTTTCAGAGGTAATTTTGGTTTATCAAACGTAAGGATTAGGTTAGCTGTGTCGACGAGTTCACCATCTCTCTTTGTCTTTATACGTTTAATATCTATTACTCCTTCTGAAGCTAATCCTTCTTTTATCTCTTCTAGGCTACAATTTAATAAGTCTCGGCACGTAATTACACCTTTAGCATAGTTAAGTGATCTGTGTGGTTCAATTGATACATCGAAGTTATCCAGTTTTTGTATTTGTAATAATCTTTTAGCTTGTTGTTCCGAAATTGTTTCTAATAGTAAACCGTCCTTGGTTTTCCTTATGTTTCTTAAGTTTCCAACTACACCATTTAAAATTTTTATTAACACAAATGGGCTAACTTTATCAAAGTTTTCTCCATCTGTTCTTTTCACGACCAAGAACCGAGGGGTAATACTCCTCTTTTCTTGGCTCTGTGAGATGGTAGCTGTTTTATCTCTGCTACCGGAAGAGAGTTGTTGAGTGTCTCTATCAATCTCCATATAATTCCCACGAATAAGCTCTGAAAATAGGTCAACATAGGCAGGGCAGGCTTACCTACGCAAGGCAATTACTAACGAGGGTCGCCCGGTACTCGCAGTCACCGTTCTTGACTCACTGCGCAGAGCCATCCACCCATCAGCACGGTTCGAATAACGCCTTGGGTTGCGGATTTTTTTTAACCGGGTTTACTCCCAGGTCTGGGTCTATTATACTATAGTGGTCCCCGGCCCAAAGGGGGTATAAGTGCAATCCTCTTGGTCCGCGGGAGTTTATCTCCTACCCACCAGCTAGGCCGGTCGGGCATTCCCCTATCCGCCACCCGGGGACGCGCCTGGTAGGGGTTAGAGGTGTCCCCCCCAGGTATTATTATTATTATTATTATTATTATTATTATTATTATTATTATTATCATTATTATTATTATTATTATTATTATTATTATTATTATTATTATTATTATTATTATTATTATTATTATTATTATTATTATTATTATTATTATTATTATTATTATTATTATTATTATTATTATTATTATTATTATTATTATTATTATTATTATTATTATTATTATTATTATTATTATTATTATTATTATTATTATTATTATTATTATTATTATTATTATTATTATTATTATTATTATTATTATTATTATTATTTTTTTTTTTCACGGTGGAATGTTCTACCATATAGCAAGTGCTTTTAAAACCTCGATCGTTACTAAGCTTAATTTGTTGATTTTAATAAGTATTAATTTGTGAAAAAGTGAACTAGTGCAACTATAGTGCATAAACTGTTTGTACAAATGTGGATTAGTCAAAAAACTGTGTATTAAGCCGAAAAACTGCATTTGCAGATATCACAGGTACACTATCTTTATCTGTTTATATTATTTTTGACCACTTTTTGTCTATCCCAACGAAAATATTCCACCACGGTTAATAATTTTGATAAATATTCATTGGATCTTGGCGTTTAATTTTAATTTTTGTGATTTACATTAATTCCTGGGCAAAATGGGTGATAATAAATGCAAGAGATGTAAGAAGAGCGTCACTACCGGACTATCATGTGTTATTTGCGGTGTTGTATCTCATCCTAGTTGCCTAAAATCAGTAAAAAATTCCATAATAATTGATGACAACACATGCAATTGTTGCTCAGACAATGCCAGCGAACAAACACCAACTGTAATTCTCAAGCCATCGTTTTCAAACTCTGAACTAGTAATAAAAGTAACATTTCTTGAAGAGATTATTAGAAATAAAGATATGGTTATATTTAATCAAGAAATTGCTATTAAATCATTACAAAGCCAAGTTGATTTGATGAAAAAAGGATCTTTTATGGAAACAGCCATACAAACAAATAAAGCGAAATCTCTGCCAACAGATTTTAATTCAAATCGTCACACGGTATTAAAAGAAGCTCAGGGTAACTCATCAAAAACTCCTATCAGCAGAACGGTAGTATCGTCCGCTATTGCTAATGCTCAAGCTTCAAATTCATGCCATGATATAATACATTTGAACAAAGATTCCACCTCTCATAGAGATTATTACAATTTTAAATCTAATAAACCTACAAGGAAACTATTGACTGGAAACATGAATGTTGAATCAAACTCTAACTTAAAGGCATCAATTTTTCAAGAAATGAAACATCTACACTCTGCTAAGTGGGATCCCAACACCTTAGAAGATGAGTTGTCAAAATATTTGCAAAGTATTCTGCCAGCTACAAGGGTCAAAAAATTGAATGCAAGATACCCGCTGGATTATGCATCTTTTAAAATCTCGGTTCCTGCTGCTGACATTGAAACAATCTTACAACCAGAACTGTGGCCAAGTGGTGTAATAATCAACGAGTTTTTTCCGTCAAGAAGGTTTCATGGAAATCGCACCGGGAAACTCAATGACTAGGAAGAAAGCTGTTAAATGTTCATATAATCCTTCTAATTTTTCTGTTTTTCATTTAAATGTTCGGAGTCTCGCAAATAAATGCCATGAATTATCAACATTTTTTTATGACAATTTATTTGATATAGTTTGTTTTTCAGAGCATTGGCTAAATAAATCATGTTTAGACGTAATCAAATTAAATGACTATGTATTAGTGTCTGACTTCACTCGATGCAGCAAGCAACACGGGGGAGTGGCAATATTTTCAAAACCAAATGTAAAATGTAAACCTATTGATTTGAATAAATTTTCAATTATTTATGATGCTGAGTTCTGTGGAGCAGAAGTAAATAATTGTTCAACCGTTTTAATTGCTGTCTACAGATCTTCTAGTAGAGATAATTTCAGTATTTTTAAAGATCAATTAATCAAGCTCCTTGAATACTTATACAAAAAATATAGCAATATTATATTAATGGGCGACTTTAACTTAGATTTTCCTGAGAATGGGAACAACGCCAAAATTATTTGTGATATTTTTTTAACTTTTGGATTATATTATAAGATTAGGGAGCCTACTAGATTAGTTTTAAATAGTGAATCATGTTTAGACAACATTGTTACAAACCTTGATCCAGGTATTATAAAAGTAGGAACGGTAGACCCAGATATATCTGATCATAATGGTCAGTATATTTTCGTTACTATGCCAGGAGGCAAAGATAACCAAGAGGTTATTAGTTCCAAAAGAATTATTAATAATAAAGGTATGGCTAAATTTGTAAACTCTTTGTCACTGATTTCTTGGGATGATTTAATTTTAAATAGCATAAACGCCTCAGATCTAGGAACGTCTATATTAAGTATTTTAAACCAAAATGTCGATTTATGCTTTCCAGAAAAGAAAGTTAAAGGAAAGAAACAAGTGGTAAAGTGGTTTAATAGCAAATTGCGCGATATGAGAAATGAAGTTAGTAATGCTAAAAATACATTCAAACTTACAAAATTTGAATCTGACTGGCGCAAATATAAAAATTTAAACAAAACTTATAAAAAGACCATCACAGACGAAAAGAAAGCAGCATATGCGGATATTATTAGTAATTCGGATAATAAGATCAAATCTTGTTGGAAAATTATAAATTCCGAAAGAAAATCAACAAAACAAAAATCAATTTGCTCACAAATATGTCCAGAAACGTTTAATCAATTCTTTGTTAATATATCCGATAAAATCTTAAGGTCTATAGAAAATTCTAAATATGATTCAACTTTTTACCTAAATAAACTAACAAAACCGTCTTTCTCTTTTTTCATGAGTGCCATTCTAGAGGCTGATGTGTATCAAGCAATTATGAAATTAAGTAACTCGACTTGTTTAGACTACTTTAACATAAACAGCAAAATGATCAAACAATCTGCAGAGTTTTTAGTGTCTCCACTTACTATATTTTTTAATAAGTGTGTAGATGAAGGCTGTTGGCCAGATCTTTTAAAAATCACTAAGATTCTACCATTACACAAAAAAGGTAACAAGGACTCGCCTGGTAATTTCAGACCTATTGCAATCTTACCAACTATTAACAAGGTTTTTGAATTTATTATTAAAGAGAAACTGATTTCGTATCTTGAATCAAAGTCACTATTATCGGAATGTCAATTCGGTTACCGGAAAAACAAATCCACAATTCGTGCTCTCGTCAGTCTCTTAGAAGAGGTGGTCCAAAACCTTGATGAGGGTGTGAGTTCTGTCGCTGCTATGTACGATTTAACTAAAGCTTTTGATTGTGTCCCTACAGATCTCTTGTTACAGAAATTGGAATTTTACGGAATTAGAGGAAAAGAGCAGAAACTGTTTGCTTCATACTTAAAAAACAATGTTCAGTATGTGATTTGCGATAATAAACAGTCAAACATTTTACCTATAACAAATTGAGTGCCACAGGGGTCGATATTGGGACCCATTTTGTTCATAATTTACATAAATGATCTTCCGGAAACTATCAAGGAGTTTTGCATTCTATTCGCCGACGACACCACGATCCTGTCTAAGTCCAATCAGATACATGATTCTGGCTTGATAAGAGACTGGTTCTCAGCAAATAGATTACAACTAAATGATGAAAAAACTAGTCATTTGCTGTTCAGTTCGGACAAATGGGCATCAAAATCGGACCCTGTTAAATTACTAGGCATACATTTGGATACAAACCTAAACTGGATATCTCATGTGAATAATCTGTGTTCTAAATTGGCAACTCAAATATTTGTTATTAGACAATTAAAATACTGTATACCAGATCATTTACTAATATCTATTTACTATGCACTATTTCACAGTAACCTCTCTTATGGCGTTCTTTTGTGGGGTAACTCCACTTACGCATATAAAGTATTTTCTTTGCAAAAAGCAGCAGTGAGATTAATTGATCATGCTCCTAACAACACTCCTTGCCAATCTATCTTTAAAAAACTCGAAGTACTGCCTCTCCCTTGTGTTTATATTCTTGAAACATTGACTGAAACACATAAAAACATAAATAGTTTAAGTCGCCATGAAGACATACACAATTATGACACAAGAAACTGCAAAGATTTTGTAATTAATAGAAATAGGATTAATATGGCTAAGAACAATACTCTTGACATTTCATTGTATAACTGTTTTAGAAAATATTTTATGCACCATGACGCACAATCAATTTAAAAACATTACGAAAACCTTTTTATTAAATTACTGTTTCTATAGTCTTCAAGATTTTTTAAACGAATTAAAATAATATATGTATACATTATCTGTTATTTGTTCTTTTTCTTTGCTCTTTTATCTTTTTAATTGCATTTATCTTTTTAATTGCATTTACTTTTTTGCTGTTTTTAAATTTTATCAATGTATTTTACATATTTTGTGTAGTTATTAATGTTAAATTTTTGTATTTGTAATATTGTATTTTTAATGTAACTTTTATTAATGTGTTATATTTTATTGTAATTTTATACTATTGACATATATTATTGTTTTCTCACACTTGATGACATGACTTCAAATGTACCAAAAAGTATGTAAAGTTGTCAATAAACATTCTATCTATCTATCTATCTATCTATCTATCTATCTATCTTTTTTTTTTTTTTTTTTTTTTTTTTTTTTTTTTTTTTTTTTTCGGGTGAGGAACATTTTATATGCCGGCCCCTGCGCTTGGGATCTGATGTTAAATCTAACGCGATAGGGAGTGTGGGACTCCATGGCTCTTTGGGTGCAAGTCCCTGTTTACCCACTAAACCTCACCTCATATCCCTACCTTCCTTTTCTGGAACCGCTCTCGCATTACTTCGGAAAAGGAGGTTGTCTTTGGTATCTGGTTTTCTCAGTGTCTACTGTCTTCTTCTTTTGTCTCGAGAATCGATCGGACTGTACTGTAGACTGCTTTCCATCCTGCTTCAGAATCCAGTAAGCTGACTGTCAAATTTTCTGGGTTAAAGGTATACCCCATTGCATCTTCGAATAGTCTTCGTTGATGTTCCCACTTAGAGCATATAAATAGGATGTGTTCCGCATCATCTATTTCTTGACAGTACCTACAACTGTCGGTTGCTGCTCGGTTCCGTTCAAAAAGGTATTTGTTAAAACCTCCATGGCCTGTAAGGCCCTGGGTCAGCCAGTAGTCCACCTCGCCATATGTTCTATTCATCCAGTTTTCAATGCTGGGAATAAGCCTCCAAGTCCACCTCCCTTTACTGCTCCGGTTCCACGAATCCTGCCACTGCTCCATCAGGTTTTCTTTGGCAACTTTTTTTGAGACACCTTGATATGTTTTTGTCCTTTCTTCGATCAAAAATTTGATTGGCGCGACTCCTGCTAATACACATGCTGCCTCAGACGACACTGTTCTATATGCACTGCAGATCCTTAAGCTTACGTTTCTTTGTATTCTAGTTAGTTTTAATAGGAGATTTTTGTTGTTGGTTACTCTATTCCATATCGGTGCTCCATACAGTAGCTGAGAATGAATAACACTACTGAGTGTACGTCTTTTGGATTCACGCGGGCCTCCGATATGAGGCATGAGGCTGACGAGTGCAGTAGTTGTTTTACCTGCCTTCTCTATTGTACGTGCTACATGTTCTGAAAAGCTTAGTTTTGTATCTAGCCACACACCCAGGTATTTAATGGCTTTGCTAGGAGTTACTATTGTACCCCGTAGTGTAAATTCTATTTGTCTCATTTTCCTCTTTTTGGTTAGCAATACACATTCTGTCTTCTCTGGTGCAAGCGTTAGACTGTTATTGTCCATCCAACGTGCCACTCTTTCCAATGTGATATTTACTACATTCATGAGTTCTACTTCACTTTTGGCTGCTACTACCACTGCAACATCATCTGCAAACCCAACTAGTTCTGCTTCCCCCGGCATCTTTAATTGCAGTAGCGGGTCGTATAGGACGTTCCAGAGTGTGGGTCCTAAGACTGATCCCTGTGGAACTCCACTGTTGACATCTGCGTTAGTTTTTTCAGTAGAATTTTCTATAATTATGCTTCTTTTAGAAAGATACGAAGCTAACAGGCATATTAGGCTTTCATCTATTTTTCGTCTTCTTAGCTCATTTAGAATAATCTGCCAAGATGCACTATTGAATGCATTTCTCACGTCAATCGTGATGACTGCGCATATTCTTCTATGGGCGGCCGAGTAAGATTCTGCTTTTTCCACTACTTCTAGGATTTTGCCTATTGCATCAATAGTTTGTCGTCCTTGTCTAAATCCGAACTGGTTTTCTGACAGGTCCCCAGTTCTTTCCAGCTCTTTCTTCAGCCTTATTAATATCAGGTGCTCATAGAGTTTACCTTCAACGTCCAACAAACAGATTGGTCTGAACGACGATGGTTCTTCTAGGGGTTTGTCTCCTTTTCTGATTAGTATGAGCTTAGCCGTTTTCCATTTCTCCGGGAA